TTACAAGTACCACGGCTCTATCACTTAAGGCTGCAATTGATAAGGTATTTTCTAGATATAACTTGAGTATGTCTAGATTGAGAGGACAAGGTTATGATGGAGCAAGTAATATGCAAGGTAAGTTTAATGGTCTGAAAACACTCATTTTGAATGAGAGTCCATGTGCCTTTTACATTCAATGTTTTGCTCATCAACTCCAACTTGCGCTTGTGACTATTGCAAAGAAGAACATCCATATTACTAACTTCTTTGGTGTGGTTGGGAACGTAATAAATACTGTTGGAGCATCTTCCAAACGATGTGATCTTCTTCGAGAAAAACAATTAGACTTTATTGTTGAGGCATTGGAAAAATGTGAGATTTTAAGTGGACAGGGACTTAATCAAGAAACGACCCTTCAGCGCTCTGGTGATACACGATGGAGTTCACATTATAATTCTTTGGTCAGCTTGCTTGCCATGTTCTCTTCTGTTGTAGATGTACTCGCAATAATTATTGAAGATGAGTCTTGTTCTTGTGATCAAAGATCTGATGCAACAAATTTATTGGAGTTGATACAAAGATTTGATTTTGTATTTAATCTACAGTTGATGAGAAGTGTGTTGGGGATTTCAAATGAACTGTCAAAGGCATTGCAAAGAAAAGATCAAGATATTGTGAATGCAATGCAATTGGTAAGATTGTGCAAACGACGACTCCAAATAATGAGAGACGAAGGGTGGGACTCCTTTTTGGAAGAAGTATGCTCTTTTTGTCAAAAACATTATATTCATGTACCCAACATGGATGATATGTTTGTACGCCTTGCAATTCGTGGTCGCCCTCAACGTAATTCTCCAGAAATTACAAATTTACATCATTATCGAGTAGATTTGTTCTACTCTGTCATCGACTTACAACTTCAAGAATTGAATGATCGTTTCTCGGAAGTAAATACAGAGTTACTCCTTTGTGTAGCTTGTTTATGCCCCCCACAAGATTCATTTTCTTCTTTTGACAAGAAAAATTTGATTAGACTTGCTGAGATTTATCCATTAGATTTCTCTGCAGTAGATTGTATTGTACTTAGCGATTAACTTGAGACTTATATTTTTGACATGCGCTCTAACAAAGAGTTTGAAGGGTTGAATGACCTTGGTGATCTTGCGAAGAAGTTAGTTTTGACAAAGAAAGATAATGTATATCCATTGATTTACAGACTTTTGACTTTAGCATTGATTTTACCGGTTGCTACCGTTACTGTGGAGAGAGTTTTTTTTGCAATGAGCATCGTAAAGAATAGATTGCGCAATCGGATGGGTGATCAGTGGATGAATGATAGCACTATTGTTTATGTAGAGAGAGATATATTTTTGAAGCTCGATAATGAAGTTATTGCACGACGATATCAAAATATGAAAACTCACAAGGAACAAATTTAATATATAAATTATGTCGTTTTTGGTGTTGTTGTAATATTGTTTTATTTTTTTATCATCATTAAATCTATAACCAAAACCTCGGAGTTCGGCGTCGAAAAATGATGCCCGCACTGGACGTAAATCCTGGCTCCGCCCCTGATCACGAGCAGCTTAACTAATGAAAGTAAAATATGTGACATGCTTGTACAAATAATTCAGCCTACAAGTCTCTCTTATCGTCTCTAATAATAAGATAATCATAATACAATCATTCTTTTGCCATCAGTTCCCCTCATTCTTTATTACCATCGTCTACTTGCAGCTGCGCAGAGACTTAGCCTTGAGGTATAAGGCGTGACACCACTCAAGGCTTTGAGGTGTTTATTGAAAGCCTCGGGACTCAAGGGGTAAGCCTCAAATACCTTCTTAAAACAATGAATGAAGCTGTAGCTGAATAAGTGAAAATAAACAATCCAACAAATGGCAAGAAACAACAGAAATCAAGACCCAAAACAGACACCCAGAATGCTTTTTATTAGTCTTCTAGCCAACATGAAAGCAAATCCATTCTAAATACTACTCAGCAATCCATCTGCACAACTTTACTCGGAAGTTGGACAATAATATAATTTAAATCACAGTCCGAATTCCGGGTACAACTTGCAGAACTGTACTAATGTCATTCGTTGGATTGATTTTCTACATACTCTTTACATCAGGCAGTGCTACCAAGCTTTCGATGATATTTAGATTATGCTAATTAGTATATCTCTACCTTTCTTCTTTTATCACATTCACCAGGAATTTTTTATTTTTTGTAAATATCTAAAATTTATCCGGGTTATTCTGGATCTGTTAAAAAATGTTGTTCATCATTCCCTTATCTAGTGCGCTCAACTACCTTCCTGTCTGCTGAAAAGAGAACCAAACAAATGGGAATGAAAAAGGAAAAGAGGAAGGATAGAAAATATCAATATGCAACGGTGTAACGAAATGGAAGGCTTCACTATTTTTACTTTCCCCCCTTCAGACAGAGGCAAGCCTTCTGTTGCAGAGATCGATTTTTAATGCCAATTTTTTCCCCTTTTGACAAGTGATTGGTAAAAACCCTCTCTCTGGCAACCAAGTTTATATCTTATCCAAACTCATGCAGCTTTATCCTAATTCCTAATTGTATGTCTCCTTCTGCCAATTCTGAGGACACAATTCCCCGGCAAAACATTCCCTTAATACTCTCTATCCATTCAAAAAGGTTTGGAGCTGGTCATTCTCACTATTTAGGCCATATATTCAGTACCCAAGAAGACTGCAACGTTAAATCATGAGTTTCCTAGTTATTTTCAACTATTGAGATAACTTATTAGAGATGAGTCTATAGGACAGACATCTATTTATATAGTTCCTTTTCTACATCGGAGTTACCCACCAAATTACAAAATATAATTCCAATATCATTTCATAAGCACAACTCTTCTAGATCTTAATTAACATTTCTTGTTAAATCATATATAAATACAGTTATAGGGAATAGAATTGCTTGATGCCAGATATTGCCTGCTGCATACATCATAACTGGCTCCTCAAACTTCAATTTCTTTTGCATCTAATAAACTAGTTAAGGTGTAATGCTTTTCACCTTCTTAATCTAAACCTGAACAATATCGATATCAACAACTATATGCACCTGCAAATAAACCCCTGTTTATCCCCACAGGGTAGCTCACATTTGGAAGTTGTGAATACCAGAGAAGACGTGCTTATCAAATAGACAGGGGGCAAAGGGGATTCATAACATTTGCAGGTGTTAAGGTTTCAAAAGCATCCGTTTCTATTCCATATTTTCGTACAAGTAATGAACAACTAGCTATAGACTTTCAATATCATTCTCCCTGATTGTCTCTCACTAGCTTGATATTTGCTATTTACTATTCTGAATGACCAGCACAATAGACACAGCTGAATCATAATGAGTACCTCATAAGGAGAAAAAATGACATGTTAGCGAAACAAGATAAGTTCCAATCCCTAAGAAACGAATACAATCTTAAATCGTGAATGGTCAAGTCATTCATGAAATTACTCATTTAACTTATATATGGTCTTGAATTTGATATTGTATATAATCTCATCTAATCTGATCAACTCAAACAAACAGATCTCAGTACTCCTTCTCGCATTAAAACAATATTTATTGTCTATTGATTTTCAACATAGAAATGTATAAATGTAACACAAATTCACCTCCTCAATCTAAGAGGCCTCAACAGAGGAAGCCTTAGAGCTTCGGAAATCCCTCTTCAAGTCCGACACCCTCTTCATACATGAAGCTTTGGTCTTCCCCGGTACAGCAGCAGCAATCTTCTCCCATCTCATTGCCACATCCTTCGGAAACGCTTTCAAAGCATTAAGCAATGCTAAATCATCTCCATCAGTCCACTCACTTTCTCCTCTCCCTCCCTCGTTATTGTTTGTTGCTCCAATTCCAACACTTTGCTCATCAGAACCTCGCTTATCCATTGGCTTCCGATCCATCAAAAACTTCTTGTAAGAATCCTCATCGCTCACTTTCCTCTCAGCCATTTCTTTAGACTTCTTTATCACACTATCCACTTTATGTTTCCCCTTCAAACCCTCAGCTATCGCCTCCCATCGCCCCGGCTTCCCCACCGGATGCTTCACCATTAACTTCTTCAGCAACTCCTCATCCGCCACACTCCACTTCCCTTCCTCGATTTTCTCAAAATTCGTAGTAGACCCACTATCAATCCCCTCATTTTTCTCCAAATTCAAAGAAGAATCAGCAACAATTATGGATTTCCCCAAAGACCCATCAAGTTTTACAGCATCTTCTGGCGATCTCTTTTGTGATTTCGTCGATTTCCTATTGATTTTCTCAACAGTTTCGTCGGGAATTTCAGGCAAATCTTTAAGAACGGGACCAAGGCCAACGCGGATATTGCCCGCAGTGAGGGAGGAAGGGGCAAAGGGGCCCAGAAGAAGGGAAACAGAAACCCACAGAAGGATGGATTTGACGGGTTCAAAATTGAAGCAAAGGAATGCAAGACTGAAAATGGAAATGGAAAGAAATAGGGAGATGAGAAGGGTAGTCCTGCGAATAGAAGGATGATTTGTGTCAGGATCGGTGGCGTTGGAGGATTCGGGTAATGGTTTAGATTGGAATTGGAATCTGGGTCTACTGTCATATTCATCGAGGAACTCCATGGTCAAAACTCGAGACTCACGGAC